ATTAAATTAATTTTCTTCCAGGTAATAGAAGTATTTATTAGAGCAGAAGACGGGCTTTGTAGAGAGGTGGTAAAACACCTTAACCAGATTGAAGAACAGATCTTAGATCATTTGGCATGGAAACCAGAGTCCCCACTCTGGGATAAAATTAGAGATAATGACAATAGAGTTCCTACATGTGAAGAGGTTTGTGAAAATATTTTAACATCTTTCTGTAAAAAAGTACATCAATATCAATTCCATTTATAATCCCTTTTAACAGATAACAATTAAACTTCTGTCAGCAGGTAGGAGATTGGTAGTTGGGTTTAATGTTGTACCCCTATATCAAAGAGAAAACAAGGGTCAGAAGTAATTTGTAAATGTTCCAACATTGCAGCAACAGTAAAAATCCAGTGTTTTTTCTTTATTTCCTGATCACGTTTCTGTTCCTTAGTGTGGTTACTATTCTAATTTGCCAAATAAGTAATGAAGGTTGATTCATATTTAGAATCTGATTATCAGGATTGGAGTTTTAAAAATTTTTTTTGTTGTCAGATGAAAGTGGAAAAGACAGCTGATTTTATGAAGGCAGGGTTTCTAATGAGCCATGATAGTTTTCTATTGCCTTAGATTATTACTGTATTTCTTTGGTACCAGGGATCGAACTTGGGACCTTGGGCTTGTGAGGCAGGTGGCGGAACCACTGAACTAAATCCCCGGCGATTATTACTGTATTTCTAATGAAAATGCTTTTTTGGATATTGCCATTTTATGTAAATAATTATTTATAGGTCATGCCACCTCAGAACTTGGAAAGAGCAGATGAAATTTCTATTGCTGGCTCCCCTTTGACTCCTAGAAGGGTGAGTGAAGTTCGTGCTGATACTGGAGGACTTGGAAGAAGTAAGTCTAAAATATTAGGAGGAATATTTTGGAGACTTGTATCTGGAAATTAAAATTTCATCTAAACCTACAAATGAAATAAGTATATATATGGAGAAGAAAATATTCTATGCACTTTAGCATCACATGGATCATTTAAAAATACAGCTTTTAAAGAAAAAAACCAAAATATATGATAAACACTATTGTGTATGTGTCTAAGGGAGAGAGAGAGAGAGAGAGGGAGAGAAAGGGAGGCACTTTTACCACCAAGCCAAATCTCCAGATCAGAGCAAGCGTCATTTTGAAAGGATAAAATATCGTATCTTAAATGTGATCCTTATTTTTTAAGTGTATTTTTACCTATGAACATACAAAAGGGTAGGGATGGAAAAACCAGACTGTTAGGAATTATTTGGGGCGATAGAATTCCTGGTGATTTGGGTAATGTTTTAGAGGCAAATATATACTACTTTCTAATCAGAGGTAGAAAAGCCTTCTTAAAGATAGAGCTGCATGATCTAACTAGCTGCGGACAAATCAGTGATGTAAGAGAACTCAGTGGGTTGAGTATGTTCAGCTTTGTCAGTTGAGCAGTGACAGTAGTGCTGGCCCGTGTATAGAAAGGGCTAGGTTTGCTATGCATTTGGTTTATATTTTAAACAGTTCCTCAAATCTTTGACCAGATACAAGGTTTCAACATATACAACTCCTTTTATATTTCTCTTTTTTTGGTGCTGCTAATCAAACCCAGGGCCTTACAGGTGCTAAGTGCTAAACATGCATCTACCATTGAACCACACCTCCAGCCCCATAACTGCTTTTTAAAGAAAACTTATAAGGGCTGGGGATTTAGCTCAGTGGTTCCACCGCCTGCCTCACAAGCGCAAGGTCCTAAATTTGATCCCTGTTACCCCCCCCCCCCAAAATCACCATTAGAGAATAGTTATATAAATCCAGACAGTTCTGAATTGTTGGATGCCATTAGAATATTCTTGTTTCTAGATCAGTTTTGTAATGTATGTGATAAACAGTTGCTAAAGAAGAATCTGTTTTAAAGAAAAAATCACTCTAAGTAATGCATAATAAATATAAATGAATGATCCATATGAAAATGTACTCATTTTTGAAAGAGGAGTCATAATGGTTTAACTGTTTTTCTGCTTCTTGTCTACTTAGAATTGTTCACAGACCTGACAACTAGTCTTTCTCAGATCCTAACCTATGGATCATGATTTGACATTAAATTTCATTTTCTTTCTTTCTTTTTTGCTGGTAGTGTTGTTGGTGTGATGAGTCTTGAACCCTTGAGCACTGAGCTACATCCTCAGCCTATTTTTTTAGTTTTATTTTGAGACAGGGTCTTACTAAGTTACTCAAACTGATCTGAAACTTGTGGTCCTCTTGCCTCAGCCTTCAGAGTAGCTAGGAAGCTAGGATTACAGGCATCGAACACTACTTCCTGCTTGGTTTTTTGTTTTTTGTTTGGGAAAATTAAAATGTTTTAGAAATAGGAAGTGTTGTTTTTTTTTTTTTTTTTTTTTTTCCTGAGTTGTTGAAAACCTCTCCTGTGCGTATTTATGTCTTTGTTCCTTTTAAGTTTTTTTTTTTTTTTTTTTGGTACCGGGGATTGAACTCGGGTCCTTGCGCTTGCATTGCGCAGCAGGTGGCGAAACCCCTGAGCTAAATCCCTAGCCCAGAAATAGGTAGTGTTGATGGTTACACAGTGTTATAGATGCTACAGAGTTACTCACTTAAAATGGTTAAAATGTCTAGTTTTATGATATATTACTATAATTTTAAAGAATAATGTAATGTACCAAACACCTTGGAATTATACAACTTAGATGGATAAGTGAACTATATGTCAGTAAAGCTGCTTTTAAAAACTATGGGCTGGGCATGGTGATACACACCTATAATTTCAGGTACTTAGGAGGCTGAGGCAAGAGGATCTTAGCTCAGACTGGGTAACTTAGCAAGACCTTGCCTCAAAATAAAATTTTAAAAAGGGGTAGGGATGTGGCTCCAGATAGAATACTTGCCTAGCATGAACAAAGCACTGGTTCAATCTCCAGTACTACAAAACAAAGCAAAATAAAAAGACTAAGATTTTAGCTCAGTGGTGCCGCGTGTGCCTTTCAAGTGCAAGGTCCTGAGTTCAATCTCCGGTACCTAGGAAAATAAATAAATAAAAATAAAAAGACTTAAGATTTATTAAACCTAAACCATATGTGTCTGCCTTGCAAAGGAACATTATTGAATTTTAATAATTTTCTCTATGTGGAAAAAGACAAAGATGAAATTTCATTAAAAACCAGAGGAATATGCTGCCCTGTGATATACAGTGGTACCTCGGTTCACAAACTTAATTTGTTCTATGATTTTGGAAAAGCTGGCCATATTTATGTTTGTGTGGGAAAGATTGCCACAGTTGTGTTACTTGTTGCAGAGTTTGCAAATAAAAACAACATTTTGCCAAATGCTTCTTTTTTTTTGGTACTGGGGATCTAACTCAGGATCTTGGCTTGCGAGGCAGGCTCAGTGCCTCTGAGCTAAATCCCCAGGCCCTGCTTCTTTTTTTTTTTTGCAAACAAAAGTGTTCATGAACTGAGGTACCACTGTATGACCATTATGTCTCCTTATAAATAGTAGTTTTACAGGGAAATCATATCATCGATGAAGTTAGAATTTGACCATGGTAAAAAAAAATATCATAGAGTTGTTTGTGCTTGCTGCTTGCTGTTTTATGCTGCCATGAACTGTTTCTCAGCGATGCTCCTCTGCCATGCCACCCAGTCTTGGAGCCAACCAACTATGAACTTAAACCTCTCCAGACTGTGAGCCAAATAAACCTTTCACCCTTTAACCTTGGGTATTGGGTATTTTGTCTCAGCAATGAAAAAAGTAAGATAGTTAGAAAACACTGTGTGATGTGATCCTCATGGTCCAGGAGAGAAAAATACCTGCTCATTGTGTTGTCCTTGCTGCAGCCAGTCATTTTTTTAACTTAATGTTCACAACTAACATGCTTGAATCAAAGTCTTTTGAAGTGGAACTCAAAGATGCTGAACCAGATATTATTGAACAACTTGTGGAATTTGCTTATACTGCTAGAATTTCTATGAATAGCAACAACGTTCAGTCTTTGTTAGATGCAGCAAACCGTATCAGATTGAACCTGTGAAGAAAACGTGTGTTGATTTTTTGAAAGAATAAGTTGATGCTTCAAATTGTTTTGGGCTTAAAGAAAAGGGAAGATTAGAACACTAGGAAAGCAAGGAGCAAAGAAAAGTAGAATCAAGGAAATAAGAGAGGCCTGGGGATCTAGTCAAGGCTAAGACTTTTCACCCAACAGCAAGTTGAGTGTTGAAGACATAAAAGCACAGGCTGGTCAAAGGCGCCTAGAGATACTTGAGAACTTTGCAGGCCTCCTGTCTCTGCTTTGCATGCTGTACTCTGTCCTGTGCACACTGTCACTTTTGAGCACATAGAGAACCTGGAAGGCAGGTGAAAAGGAAGGAAAGAATTTCAGAGAAGAATTAGGCAGCCAAAAGGGTTAAAATGAGACTTGTTCTAGTTTTCAGAGAAGGAATTAGACTAGATGGAACAGGAAGGGGAACAGCTATGCATGTGACCATATGGAGGTAGTTTTTTTTTTTTTTTTTGGTACTGGGGATCGAACTAGGGACTTCCCGTTTGCAAGGCAGGCGGTGGAACCACTGAGCTAATCCCTGGCCCTTGGAGGTAATTTTTAAAAGGTAGCCAAGGGTCAACTTAGTGAAAAGAGCACCATACATCTTAGGCACTTTCTTGTTGCTGGGACACAATCCCCAACCCCACAAGCTACAGAGAGGTTTATTTTGGCTCACAGCTTTAAAAGTTTCAGTCTATGTTCAGCATGTTTAAGAAAATAGCATAGTGGAAGGGGCTTGGTGGAGGAAAGCCACTCGTGTTCTGGCAGCCAAGAAGCAGAGAACAAAGGCAGGAGCCAGAGAGGGAGATGCATGTATCTTTCCAGGTCATGCTCACAGTGGCCACCTCCCCCAGCCAGGTCCCACCTCCCAACAGTAGGTCAGCTGTAGTGCCCCATTGTCCATTCCTCTTTCAAACGCACCTTCTCTGAGTACATGAGGCCCTTGAAAGCCAGTCCTTTATCCCATCTAGGTAACAGAGACAATCTGGGAGGAGACTCCATCTCTCTGGGTTGTAGTTTCGGGTTCATCAGTAAGCTTTCTATTTCAGATATTTGATTTTCCCTTCATAAATATTCTCATATAATGTATATAAAGGAAGGAATAATTTTAAAGAAATTTTTGGAAGATGATGGGTTAGGTATATTTTCCTAACTCCCTAGCCCTCTAAATGTCCTACTGAACTGATTGATCTACAAAGAAAAGTGGATAAAAAACAGACTAGATGTGATGGGATAAAGCATAGTACACAGCCTGGAATGAGTTTGTGCTAAGCCCATCTTAGGCTTTGGGCTTCTGAGAATATTTTGGAGTTTTGCCTCCAGATACTTTGTCATCTTTGTTTACATTGGGAAAGGGAGGATGATAGCTCAGTAGCCAAGAAAGGACTATGGTCCTGTGGCTAAGCATGGGATAAAAACCGAAGCTCAGACTAGTTGAGCCAAGTGCAATGCCTCAGGAACTATGAAACTGTTTCTACCTGGTTTCTGTGTATCCCCAAGCATGACTGTCACTACAGGTCACTTGGAAAACTGTCTTAATTTTCACCACCTCTCAATTTTCTGTTGCCCAAAAAATCCCAACAATCTGACTTCCACAACTGCTAGTGGAACCCATGGAAGCTGGCTGAATTGAGCAAAGAAAGACTAAAAGTTCAAGGAAATTTAATAGTTTATGGAATAAAGTCAAGTTGGCCAAAATGAATGGCTTCTGTGGGCTAATTTAATGTAAGAAATGGCTTGCCCTAGTGGTAGGGAACTTAAAAATAGAAAAAGATGTATTTGAGAGAGGAAAAGAAAACATGATTTTCTATTTTTTAAAATATTTAATCAGATGGAAAAACAGTAAATACTTCTAAAATTCAAACTAAAGAATATTAAACAGGGGAAACGTCCTGAAAAAAATGCAAAGAAAAGAAAGCCATTCAATGAAACAATAAAAGACAAGAGATGCAGATACAGCAGTACTAAAATGAAGTCAGACTTCCAGAAGGAACAGGTAGAGGAAAAGCAGGAATCAAAGAGTAACAGAAGAAAACTTATTTGAGCTTTAAAAAAAAGGTTAACTTTCAGATTTAGTTATAGTGAGTGCCAAGCCTGCTTAATGCACTAAGATTTTCTTCCCTTAGATATATCTTAGTGATATTTAAAGTGTTCTGGAACTAGATAGTGATGATGGTGGCACACAGTATTGTGAATGTGCTAAATGTTACCAATGGTAAATTTTATGTGCATTTTACCACAATAAAATCAAAATATAAGAAAAGAATGTAACAAAAAATATAGAAAAATAGAATAATTCCTTATTTGTTTTATGGTGCAGGCCCTCAGGATGCTAGGCAAGTGCAAGCTACTGCTGAACCACACCCTCAGCCCTAGAATAATTCCATAAATTGCTCCTATATTATGAAGTCCTTGTAGTAATCAACAACAAAGCCTAGGACAAGGAGGAGTGGAGAAAGTAGCACTGTGAGACAAATAGAAATTACAAAATTTTGCTCAGTGTTCATTTGAATATTAGTTGAATACAGGTATACTCTAACCTATATATCTGTAATTTGTGCTTTGCTTTTTAAGTCATGAACTATTTTGAATACTGTAGTTAGTTTTGAACATAAGACCTTGGAGGGAGATATGTTGTCTTGTGTTAAATGGTTTGTACAATCTGTTTTGATCCTAGGTATAACATCTCCAACTACACTATATGATAGATACAGCTCCCCAACAGTCAGCACTACCAGAAGGCGGCTGTTTGAGAATGACAGCCCCTCTGATGGAGGAACACCTGGGCGCATTCCCCCACAACCCTTGGTCAATGCTGTCCCTGTGCAGAGTGTATCTGGGGAGGCAGTTTCTGTCACACCAGTTCCTGGACAGACCTTGGTCACCATGGCAACAGCCACTGTCACAGCCAACAATGGACAAACAGTGACCATTCCTGTACAAGGTAAGGAAGATAGAATTGGGTGAGTTCTCTGGCATTTATTGGAAAGTCATTGAAGATTTGGTTGAAATGACGATATGGGATGGAGTGATGGGGAGAGGGGACTTGAGAGAGATGGAAACTTCTCCCAGGAAAGCCTCATGATTGTATTTTCTGCAAACCCTCCCTCTCCCCCCTCCCCCCGGCCCGGAATGAACTGTAGGTATTGCCAATGAAAATGGAGGGATAACATTCTTCCCAGTCCAAGTCAACGTTGGAGGGCAGGCACAAGCTGTGACAGGCTCCATTCAGCCCCTCAGTGCTCAGGCCCTGGCTGGAAGCCTGAGTTCTCAACAGGTCACAGGAACAACCTTGCAAGTCTCTGGTCAAGTGGCCATTCAACAGATTTCCCCATGTGGACAACAACAGAAACAAGGCCAGGCTTTAACCAGCGGCAGTATTAGACCCAAGATGACCAGCTCTTTATCACTGTTCTTTAGAAAGGTAATTTTTCACATACCTTTGACAGAGCAGGAACATGGGAAAAGTAATTGTTAAGCAAAGTAAGAAATGTTTGTGTTTATCTGTTAGGTTTACCACTTAGCAGGTGTCCGCCTTCGGGATCTTTGTGCTAAACTGGATATTTCAGATGAACTAAGGAAAAAAATCTGGACCTGCTTTGAGTTCTCCATGATTCAGTGTCCTGAAATTATGATGGACAGACATCTGGACCAGTTGTTAATGTGTGCCATTTATGTCATGGCAAAGGTGAGTACCATTCAGGTCTAAAAAGATAAAAGCAAAGATGCTATTTCATTACTCAGAATATTTTTGTTTTGTTTTATGGTAATGAGGATTGAACCTCAGGCCTTCACGCTGAGCTACATCCTCCATCCCTTTTTTGTGACAAGACCTTGCTAAGTTGCCCAGAATGGGTTTGAACTTGTGATCATCCTGCCTCAGTCACCTCAGTCAGGAATTACAGATGTGTGCCAGTATACCTAGTCCACTCAGAAAATTTTAAAACAGCTTTACTGAAATATAATCCATCTATTTAAAATGTGCAACCTAAATGTGTCTTAGTATGTAACATTCCCTTGTATAGTACTTTTATCTATTCTTCAGTTGATGGACACTAGAATTGTTTCTGTTTTTTGGCTATTCTGAATAACACTGCTATTAGATTTGTATATGAGTTTTTGTGTAGACATATGCTTTCATTTTTTAGGGTGTATACTGGGGAATGGATCCACAGATCACTGGTAGCTCTATGTTTATTTGAGGAATTGTAAGTCTGTTTTGTAAAGTATTTTACCATTTCACATTCCCACCAACTAATATAGGACAGTCTTAAATTCTCCACTTTCTCAATACATTTTATTATCTTTTTTAAAAAAATTAATTTATTGTAGTGAAGCTCACATAACAAAGTTAACCATTTTAAAGTGAGCATTTGGTACATTTGCAGTGTTGTATGCTCAGCACCTCTTTCTAGTTCCAAAACATTTCCATCCTTGCAAAGTAAAGCCCTTTGTACATTCAGTGGTTTCTTCCTATTCTTCTCACAGCCCCTGGCTACCAGCAATCTGTGTTCTGACTCTATGGATTTATCTATTCTGAATATTCGTATAAACAGGATGGTACAATATGTGACCTTTTGTGTATGGTTTCTTTCACTGAGGATGTTTTCAAGGTGTAGCCATGTTGCAGTATGTATCAGTACTTCATTCCTCTTTATGGCTGAATGATAGTCTACTGTATGGATATATCACAATCTGTATGTCCATTTATCCAATGATGGACATCTGGGCAGTTTCCAACCTTTGGCTATTATAAATAGTGCTTTTGTGAATATGTGCGTATTATGTACTTGTTTGGGTGCTTGCTTTCAGTTTTCTTGAGTTTATACCTAGGAGGGGAACTGTAGGGTCATATGGTAATACTTTATATATGATGTTTTGAGGAACCATCATTTACATTACTATCAGTAATGCAATAAATAGTGTTTCAATTTCTCTGTATCTTTGCGAACTTAGTTTACATGTTGTTATCGTTTTTTAAGTTGTAGCCATACAGCTTTAACAATTGAGTGGTATCTTGTGGTTTTGATGTTTTTGCTTAATGACTAGTGATGTTGAACATCTTTTATTGTTGGCTCTTTTATTTGTTGGCTTTTATTATCTGAGTTGGGTGTTTTGTTTTGCTTTGCAGTACTGGGGACAGAATCCAGGGTCTCATACTGAGCTACATCCCCAACATATATTTGGGACAGAGTACTACTAAATTGTCCAAGCTGGCCTTCACCTTGCAATCCTCCTGCTTCAGTCCCCCAAGTAGCTGGGATTCCAGGTGTGCACCACCACACCCGACCTGTTTTCTGAGTTTTTGATTCTATTGAGTGTGAAGTGCTCTCTCGTTGTAGTTTTGATTTGCCTAATGATGTATCATCTTTTCATTTCCTTAGTGTCCATTTGTGTACCTTTGGAGAAATACCTGTTAAAATCTTTTGCCTTTTTTTTTTTGTACTAGGGATCGAACTCAGATCCTTCCGCTTGCAAGGCAGGTGGCGGAACTACTTAGCTAAATCCCCGGCCCCTTGCTTTTTAAATTGGGTTATTCATCTGTTTTTGAGTTGCTGGAGTTCTTTATATATTTTGAATACAACTACCTTGCAAGATACAGGATTTGAAAATATTTCTTATATTCCGTGTGTTTTCACTTGATAGTAGCATTTGAAGCATAAAGGTTTTTAATTTTGATTGTCTAATTACATATTTTCTGGTTTGTTGCTCACCCTTTTCGCGTCATATCTAAGAATCCATTGCTAGATCCGAGAGATCATAAAGTTTTATTCCTGTGCTTTCTTAGTATTACCTCTTATATTTGTGTCTTTGACCAATTTTGAGTAAATTTTTTATATGGTATGAGATAGAAATCTAGTTTCTTTTTTATGTAGCTTTCCAGTTGACCCAGAACTACTGTTAAAAGAACTATCATTTCCCTATTGAATGGTCTTAACACTGTTGTGGAAAACTCAGTTCCCCCTTGACACATGGGTTGTTTATTTTTATTTTTTTGAGACAGGAAATGATTCAGGTTGACCTTAAACTTCCTATGTAGTGCAGGCTGGCCTCAAACTTGTGGCAATTCTGCCTCAGCCTCCTAGTGCTGGGATTATAGGCATGTGCCACCATGCCCTACCACATGGTTTTTTTAATCCAGTGTGATGTCATTGATATAACTGGATGTATTTCTGTGATTTTGCTTTGTTTTTTATGTCTTGTTCTTTTATTTCAGCTTTCTTTTGCATTAGGTAAATATTTTTAAAGGTAGAATTTTAGTAATAATTTAACTTGTTTCCTTTGTATTTGATCTAGCTTCAGAGCGATACTAATTTCTACTGAGATATAGAAGTGTTATGTTTATTTTCCTTTCATCTTTTTTTGTGGTGTATTGTTATACATGTTCCAACCATAAGTACTACAAATCCAACAGTACTTTGTTATAGCTACTTGATATAATTTTATAACTTTAAAAGAGCTGAAAGGAATATGTTTATAGCTTTTGCTAACCTTATTTATCATTTTTGCTTCTCTTAATGATTCCTGTGGATTCAAGTTGCCATCTCTAGTTTTTCCTTTGCCCAATACAGTTTTGCTCCTGTCTACCTCTTCTGTATTATTTTTGGCAAATACACTACTATTGCTTTGTATAATAAATATGATTTATTGTAAACACTTTTAAATAAATACTAAATATAATACTTTTAAAAAATTATACTTATTGGTATATATTAATTGAATAATTTAGTGGGTCAGTGGCATTTTCATACATGCATATGCCATACTTTGATTATATCTTCCCTCCTTAATGTCCTCTATATATTATTGCTGTTATAGTTCCAACATTGCCTCATATACAAACATACTTGACTTGTATAGTTTCTGACGAGAAGTCAACTTTTATTAGAGTTTCTCTGAAAATGAAAAGTTATTTTTCTATTTGCTTTCAAGATTTTGGCTTTCAGCATTTTTTCAATGGCATATACGTGGGTATGGATCAGAGTTTCTTCTATTTGGAGTTTGTTGAGCTTCCTTTGAATGTATGCACATTACTGTTTTAAATTACCTTAGGGACCTTTCAGTCTATTTCTTTGAACATTTTTTTCTGCTTCTCTGTTCTCTCCTGATAATCCTGTTACACATATGTTCATGTGCTTAATGGTTGCCACTTTTCTCTGAGGCTCTATTTTTGTTTTTCGCTCTTCCTCACATCATGCACTCTCTTTATTCAACTGCTAATTTGTTTTTCACTTATAGCTCAAATCTGTTTTCCTCCTCTGATGAATTTTTCATTTCAGTTATTATACTTTTTTATTCTAGGTCTTGGTTCATATACCATGCTCTCTGCTTTTACTGAACTTTATTTTCTTGAATAGATAGTTCTTGATTTTTGTATGTCTGTAGGACCATTTTCAGAGGCTTTAAATTACTGTTTTTTAAAATATAATTTCTGCCACTTTCAGTGGAGAGCAGGTTCACTGAGAGCCTCACACTATTATGCTAGAAGTTTATCACGGATCCTCCCATTTTTTGCCAGGTCACAAAGGAAGACAAGTCCTTCCAGAACATCATGCGATGTTACAGGACTCAGCCACAGGCCAGAAGCCAGGTAACTACATTTTTTCAGGAATGAAAATAGAGCTTAAAGTCCGTGATGAATACAAAAAAATTATCCACAGTTAATTCTGCAGACTTTTTTTTAGGATAAACAACTAAGATTCTACAGAAGTTGCTAATTTAATCTTTCATCATTAACAAATAACTTCTTGCTGTGTCACTTTTCAGTTTAGCAAATGCAGTACTGTACATTTAACCAAGGTAATGTTAAATTAAAATTATAAATTCACTTTAACTTTAATGTCATTCATCTCTGAAAGGCAAGAATGCTAGACATTTGAATCTGACTTGATTTTATAGTTGGGTACTACTCCTGTTCTGTAGTATTTTAGGTAGTACATAAAGCTAGATAGGCTCTAGTGTAAATCCCAGGTCAGTTATTTAATAGCTGTTATGACTTTGGCTGCATTTAATGGCTTCTGAGGAGGACAACTATCACTACATGGGATTGTTGTAAGAATCCAGTAACATGTCAAGGCCTGTCATCTAGGATGTATCCAATAAATATTAGCTTCTGTCACCTTCTCACTATCTCTTTTAAGGTATATAGAAGTGTTTTGATAAAAGGGAAAAGAAAAAGAAGAAATTCTGGCAGCAGTGATAGCAGAAGCCATCAGAATTCGCCAACAGAACTAAACAAAGATAGAAGTAAGCGAGATCTTTATGAACTCTTATAAAACAAAATTAGCTTTAAAAAAATTTTAAGGCCTAAACCACTATACATTATTAAATGAGATAACCACTACATGAAGTGGTTTATTGGCAAAGGCTTTGCTGGAGCAATAAATCCAATTCTAAATTTAGTGGCAAAGCTGGCCTTCATTCCATAGCTTTGAGGCACAGAGTGCATAACATTTTCTCCAGAGGAATCAGAGAAGTTCAGGCAGGAATCTGCTGGCCTGAGTTCCAGAAAGAGCTGGCATGTCAACTGGAGCCATGATGTGGAAATGCCATCCCTAGTTGCTGCACATAGTGCAGGGCTCAGGTTCCAGAAAACATGGTGTAACTTATTAACGGGAACTACTCAGTAAACCCTTGCTTTGATTATAGCATAGAAGTAAAGTTATTAATATCCTGTCTGATCTCTGACTAGTATAAAGACAAGAGTGCCTACTTACTGCAATTAATTAGTCCAGATAGTTTTTCTTACTGAATTTTCTTTTTTTAAAATAATCCGAATGGCAGTTTTTGCAACTTAACATGCTTTTTCCACCGGCTGCAGCCAGTCGAGACTCTAGTCCTGTCATGAGGTCCAGCAGCACCTTGCCAGTTCCACAGCCTAGCAGCGCCCCTCCTACACCTACTCGTCTCACAGGTGCCAACAGTGACATGGAGGAGGAGGAGAGAGGCGACCTTATTCAGTTCTACAACAACATCTACATAAAACAAATCAAAACATTTGCCCTAAAGTACTCACAAGCAAACATAGTAAGTTTAACAGGGATTATTTCATTCTTTTTCATTTCTGAGGGATGAGGAATCGATTATATTTGTCATGTTCTATATATAAACTAGATTTACAAATAATTGTTCGATTAAAACTAAGGAAGTTTCTAACTGAAATAACTTGCATAATAATTTCTATTGTTGCTAAGCATTAAGAGTAAAGTTATATTTAGATTCCCTACAAAGTATAGTACCAGAGACAGCTACATTAGTTCACATCATAAGAATGGTGGTGACACTGCAAACTATTTAACTTTCTCTTCTTGATTTCTCATATATAAAATGGGAACAGAAGTAGTTATCTAGCTTATGGGACTGTAGTGAGGATTAAATGACATTAGAAAATGCTTAAAACAGTGACTGATATACACTAAGCACTTAATGTTTATTTATTAGTATGATTTTGGGGGGGTTGATCATTATTGCTAATGTATCACTGTTTACCTTTCATAAAACTACTGATTTATCATACCTCTTAAAAATACTAATTTTTCAATGAAAATACCTTTCTAGAAATTTTTTTCTTAGAATGACTGATTTTTGTTTTTAACAGATGGATGCTCCTCCACTCTCTCCATATCCATTTGTAAGAACAGGCTCCCCTCGCCGAATACAGTTGTCTCAAAATCATCCTGTCTACATTTCCCCACATAAAAATGAAACGATCCTTTCTCCTCGAGAAAAGATTTTTTACTACTTCAGCAACAGTCCATCAAAGGTGAGACTAACATAAATTTTGGCCTGTACTCCTCCTAAAATGCTTTCGGATGGTAGAAATAGGCTTTATGCTAAGCCTAGGCACACACGAGAGTGGTAGGAACTGCAGTGGAGCAGGGGCCACTAAGTCCCAATGAAGCAAAAAGCAGGGCTGGTTGGCGTGATTTTTTGAGAACCTTGGAGTTGGAAATAGGGTAAGGAATTTGGATTTACTTTTATTCCCTCATTTTCTGTTTGTGCATTTTGAACATTCTGCTGTAAATCTGGAGAGTTGTGCTTTTTATTTATAGAATTTAACTTTTCTAAAGCAACAGAAAATTTGGATCCCTAAACAGATTACCAGGTTGCTGTTTGTGGGATAGGCAGTGGTTCTGTCCTATGGACTCTTTATCTAAAGGGAGAATTGGAGATTGCAGTGTGATAATCATAGAAGCATAGGTTTATTAGTAGCATCTATGTCACCCTGAGAAGAAGGGTGGGAAGCTTGAATCAGGCTGTGAAAAGTTGAAAACTTAGAAACTTGGTAAGCTGTGTGGGTGGTATACACTTGTAATCGCGATTACTTGGGAGGTTGAGACATAAGGATTGATGCCACTCTGGGCAACTTAGACCCTGTCTCAAAATAAAAAGGGTTGAAGATATAGCTAAGTACAAATACTCTGGGTTCAATCCCCAGGGGGAAAAAAAAAAGCTGAAAAGTGAGAGTGTATCCAAGAAGCAGCAGATAAGAAAACCTTCTTGTGACAGTTAAGGTTGAAGCAATAGAGGATGGAGGAAGTACTGCATAGGAGAATATAGAGAGACATGATCTTTGATTGGAATCTTGCACAGGAAAACACTGCTACATGGGACATTATTGGGATAATTTGGAAAATTAAAAATTTCTCTTAAATTTTTTAGCATTAATGCTACTGGATTATGTGGGAGACTATGGTTAAAGTATTCAAAGAGGAAATGTCCCAGTGTCAACAATTTACATCCAGATGGTTCAGCTAGAAAAATATATGTAAGAAGAACAAATATAGTAAAACATTAATGCTTGAAAATGGGAATTTAATGTACTATTCTTTTTTTGGTACCGGGGATTGAACTTGGGACCTTGCGCTTGTGAGGCAGGCGCTGGAACCACAGAGCTAAATCCCCAGCCCTAATGTACCATTCTTTGAACTTTTCTTTAGGCTTGGAATCTTTTGAATAAAAGACTGAAAAAAACAAGTAAAACGAGCAGTAAAAATCTGTTGAAAAACATAAGGAAAAACTTTTCCTACAGTATTTATTACATGTCTTAAACAAATATCTTATAGTAATTTAACCTTAGTTTTTGGGGTTTTTTTTTGACAGATTGAGGGGAGAGGTGCTAGGGACTGAAGCCAGGGCCTTGAACATGGAAAGACAAGCACTCGATTGCTGAATTAGAGATTTTTAAAGACTGGAATAAATGAAGCTATACCAATCTTTCTAAATAGGAAGCCTAAATATTAAAAATATAATATTTTCCATTACATAAATTTAGTTTAATTCCAGTGATATTCCCAGTGGAATTAATCGTAAAGCCTAGAAACAAATTGGCAAGAATACTCCAAAACAAAGTGGGAGGAAATGGCTAATGTTTCTTATAAAATTAAACTTTTAACCTATAACTAAACTGCAAATTGATTAAAGAGTTAAATGGAAAAAAGGAATCATAAAACTGGAAGGTAATATATATTGCTGTTTGACCATACAGCAAGAAAAGACTAAATATAAAAGCATAGAGGTATTAGACAAAAGAGATGAACTGGAATCATAATAATTCAGAAGGTAAGAGCCAGGTATGGTAGTGCACATCACATACAGTCCCAGCATTTGCGAGGCCGAGGGCAGGATGATGGTGAGTTAGAGGCCAGCCACTCTGAACTATGTTCTAAGACCCTGTCTCAAAAAAAGGAAAACAGTAAACTAATAATGAAATGTAAGTGGTCTGAATACACCAACTTAAAGACAGAATTGTCACCTTGGATAAAAAATCAAGATCAACCTTTATGCTGTTTCTAAATAGTTTTAAATGTAAAGACACAAATAATTTAAAAGACAACATCCCAAATGCCCATTAACTGATGAATAAATATCCACACAATGGAATATTGGATGACAATAAAAAGGAATGAAATACTGATAAATGCTTCAATGTGGATGGACCTATATGTTAAGTGAAAGAAGCCAATCATAAAAAAACTACATATGATCCCATTTATGTAAATGTCCAGAATGGGGTAAATATATAGAGGCAGAAAGATTAATACAGGTTTCCTAGGGGAGAAGACAGTTTTTGCTAATGGGCAAAAGTTGAGGAGTCCTAAAATTGAATGTGGTAATGGTTGCTTAACTCTGGAAACACACCAAAAGCCATGTAGTTGTACATTTTAAATGAGTGAATTGTGTGGACTGTGATTAAATGTCAACACTGCTTTTTAAAAAGTTAAAAGGATGGGACAGGCATGATGGCACATGCCTGTAATCCCAGCACTCTGGGAGGTGGAAGCAGGAGGATTGTGAGTTTGAGTCCAGCCTGGGCAATGTAATAAGACCTTGTCTCAAAAAATAAGGAGGGCTGGGAAGTAGCTCATGCAAAGGGTCATAGGTTCAATACCTAGTAACCCCTCCCTACACACACACACAAGTTAAAGGATGGAAAAGTTAGACCATACTAATCCTAAAAGTTGGAGTAGCTGTATTAATATCAAAACATTTCAGAGCAAAGAATATTATCAGTGATAATTCATTTCCTAATGATAAGGATATATAATCAAAGTTCATAGAAGATTCAACATAACTGATAGAATAGAGAAAATCAGTAATGATACAAAATATGTGGACATTATCAAGCAGACTAATTGACATTTATAGAACACATCAATAGCATCAATTGCACATGGACTATTTACAAACAGACCACATTCTGGGACCCTAAGACAAATCTCAATTTAAAAAAAAAAATTTTTGGTAGTGTTGAGGATGAAACCTAGGGCCTTCCACATATAGACAAGAACTGTACCACTGAGCTATAGCTCCTGCCTGCTCAAGATATTTTAAAGAATTCAAATAATGCATTTTATTTTCTGGCTGCAATGGCATTAAATCAGAAATCATTAACAGAAATAACATCTGGGAAATCTCCTAATTTTTGGAAACTGATTTACAGATTTCTTTGGGTGAAGAACAAAATCATAAGAGAAATTAGAGGGCTGGGGATTTAGCTCAGTGGTTCTGGCTCCTGCCTTGCAAGCGCAAGGACCTGAGTTTGATCCCTGGTACCAAAAAAAAAAAAA